CTGAACTTGAACTGGCTATTTGGAACAATTCAAAGTTAGATAAGTCACTGCCATTTTGGCTCCATAATACCAACTCCTCTATCTTAAAGAGCCCATGGTGCTTTTCCTTGTTTTCTGACTTATCTACAATGTTACAATGGTGAATTAACATCTTAGATGTGACCAAAAGCTCAAAAAAAGAGGTTTATGTACTGTATGTTGTTGTACTTCTATGCAGAAGTAACTCAGTTTCTTCAAGTCTTGCAAACTCTTGCTCGCAAAATTTTTTTCCTAACAATGTAAAGTTTTACATGATAGTTTAAGGATTTCCTTGAATGGTCATAATTTCCAGGCAGTTGCACGTTCATGCAAGTTTGCCTGACATCTACTGGTGCCATTTTAAAAGCTAGATTTTTGACTGCACAAAAATTGGGTAGAACTCCAAGTAGTATGTCTGGTGAACACCAGGCACTGCTCACTGCCTGGCTAATACCATTCCTATGTTGAAGCACGGTGGTAGCTGCATCATGCTGTTGGGGGTGACTTCTCAGTGACGGGGAAGGATGAATGCAGCCAAATACAGAGAGGTCCTTGAAGAAAACTTGCTCCAGAGCCCACATGACCTGAGACTGGGGCAACATTCACATTTCTGCATGACAATGACTTGAAGCACGCAGCCAAGACAACACTGGCGTGGGCTGCGGACGTGTCTCAGACTGTCCTTGAGTTACCCAGTCAAAGTCTAGACGTAGACCTCACAAAATATTTGTGGAGAGACCTGATGATGGCAGGTCACAGACACTCCCCATGCAAACTGATGGCGCCTGAGAGGATCTGCCGCTGAGATAAACTGCCCAAGTGCAGGTGTGCAATGCTAACCAGGAGTTACCCATGAAAACTCAAAGCTGTAATTGCTGTCAGAGTATTAAATTAAGGCTCTGAACACTTTTATAAATAATTTAACCAATTAATAATACTTTTTAAAATAAACTAATCAGTTTTAGACTAGAAAAAAATTTAGCACGTTTTCACTTTATCATTACAAGTTATTGTAGATCGGTGGGTAACACTGTAACACTGTATGTACAGTAAAAAGTGGATGAGCCTGATAGCACTAGTTGTCTACAATATCAACACACTTCTACAACTCACACACACATCCCACACATTTTTAAAATAGTGTGAGAAGTCTGTTTATGTGTTTGTGCATGCTTGTGTTTGCCTGTTAGCCCATTTGTTCGTGTCAAAACAAGACCAGAACAGTGAAACAGAGTGTTAGAGAGAGGGGTCAAGGTTAGCAAGACTGTCACTGCATCAGCTGCAGCCTCATCTACCCTGCATGTAGGAAGACAGTATGTGAGTGTGTGTTGTTGTTGATGCTCTTTTGATGGTCTACTAATCCCAAATGCATTTGGCTGGCAAATTAATCCAAGCTTTGTCATAGCCAATCTCTAAACCCCTTCTATCCCATACTCTCCCTTTCCCAGTCTCTCTCTAGAGCAGATCTCTCTCTTTCCTTTCGGGCTACTCTCTATCATTATCTATCTCCAGATGGTGTCTTGGTACATGTGATATCGAGAGAGAGAGAAAGAGAGGGAGGTGACCTGTGACGCCAAAGGAGCCTCCTCATTGGAAAGTGTGGCTCGGCGGAGAGAGAGAACGAGGCTTCATTTGTTGCCATAGTGAGAAAGTAGATTAACCACCGCCAGTATGATGCCCTGACGGACGCCTGATGAGGGATGCCGTGTTTCTCCAGGAGCAGTCACCTGCCCCACTATCAGAGGTAGGACATACTGTATGCCTTGTTTTCCATTTAGAGGGAAATGGATGTAGGTGCACGACTGGGTAAAGACAGTTTCTCATGCATTCGTGTTTCCTAAACCATTCAAGTCCACGTTGCCTATGAATGCATCTCAAAGTTACAACAATAACCCCCTTTATAGGCATACAGGAGTTAAACCCATTTTAACAATTGCTTCTATAATGTTTCCATGAGAATCTGTATCTTTAATGTCCTATAATTCATTCTACTGCAAGATAAGAAATGTTACTAAACCAATTTAACCTCTAATTTTGGTCTTCTATTGTAACACATACAGTATAGCTCAACAGTCGTCAAATAATATAATAAAATACAACAAAACTACTTTTTAAAATTACTGATTAAATGGAATTAAAACATATATAATCTACATCAAATTTGACTGTAAATTCAATTGTCATATAATTAGAAATAAACAAACAAGGGTATTTTCTTGCCAAACCAGCCTTGCTGACAGTGGCAGTCAGTGGCAGTGTTGCAAGGCTGGAGACGTCTGCAGGGGAGTGGATGCTTCGATTAGATTAGTATTGAGTTTTTATCTTTAATGATTAGATCTGGGTCCTCTAGGTGGACACCACACTAAGATGTATAGGTTAATGGTTCTTTACTCCAGCGAATGCTATGAAACTTCAGACGTTATCGATCCTCTCAACTGCATCGTTATTCTAGCAGTTGTGTCACCTCTAATGTGCATCTGATCTAAGAGGAGCCACAGGATACCAACAGTGCTGGGGAGTACTGAACTACATGTATTTTAACTAACATTTTGCAGTAGTTTGCTGGTAGTTCAGCTACATTCATATATAAACAAGAGAGTCTGGTCTGACAGGTAAAAAGAGTAAACGGTGCAACTTGAAGACTGTTTCAAATGCTAAGACTGTACAAGTCAGGTCACTGGTGGAATGTCAGGAGGTGCAAGCAGCCGCACCCGGGCTCATGTGGGGGTCCGGGCGGTCCCTCAGGACAATGTTCAGCTAATGTAACTCAACAGAGTACAGCAATGTCTTCATTTCTCACCACATCAGGAGTAGGAGATAAGACCAGATAGAAGTGAAAGAAGTGTTCCAAAGATAAACTGAATGACATAGGCACATTCTCCAGAGCATAACACAACAGCCAAGCACAAGGGAAGAGGAGAAGAGGGGAAAAGAGTGGCGGTCAAAAGGAAAGGTGGGTGTTTAAATAGCTTATTGAAAAGAGGGAAATTAGAGGAGAATGGCACAGGACTGGAGGATGAATCTATAAATCTTAAAAAGATGGGAGAACGGTCGATGAGAGAGAAAAGAAGAGATCTTAATTAGAGGAGGGGTGGGATTATGGGATGAGGGGGGTGTATAGGAGGAGATAAACGGAGAGGCAAAGGGGAGGGACGAAGGAGAGGTGTTTGGAGAGAGGTTCAGGTGTGCGTGACTGGAAAACGGAGGAACCTAGGAAGCTGCACAACAAACAGAGGCAGCTGTGGTGAGTTTGACATTGCGCTCCACATTATGAGCAGCGTGTTTTCTCTGCGATTGTAACTTGCAGCCTGATTACCAAGCGGGACCGTGCTGTTGTGGTCGGGGACACATCTAGGCTCCTGTAAGGTTCGGTAAGGCTTATTGATAAGACTGAAGAGAAACATCACCGTGATCCATTCAGTGTTTCCACAGAGACTCATCCTCTCTAACGTTACCCTACTTTGTATTCTGCTCAGACTCACTTTGTTTTACCTACTGGTTTGCAATATTCCTAAAGGGACTTTGTTGTAGTTGCATATGGACTAGTTATCTTTGAATTATATTATAGAGTTATATCCCGTAACGGTGTAACCTAATTAAAGAAAGCACCCAGTTGCACAGATACAGGCGATAGAGTCATGTAGCACATTTAGACAGAGACGCATCGGGAGACCTGGTTTCACTGGTACATACCATAGCCACGTTCATTTCAGACCGTGTCTCTGTCATGTTTTGCATCATTTGCTTGTAATGAAATCGTCTCTGTGTATTTGTGGTGTTGTTCGGTGCAAATGATGATGGACTCTGATCTCCCATTGCGGTTGACGGATGCGGCGCTGCGCCACTCGTTGTTGTCTCTTGATTTCTCCTTGGAGAGAGGCCGTTTGAACAGAAGACGTGTCAGTGATGAGTTAAGCGCATGCAAAATCTCACACCAGTCAGTGAATTCCTTTATACAGGGGAACATCACAGTAACCACAATAGATACAAATGTGAGGTACAGTGACAGACGGTGTGGGCTGTGAGCCCCTGTTGAAACGTTGCCGGGTAAAGTGATCTGAGGCACCGTGTGTCACACCTTGTCAGACGTCGCTCCCCCTGCAGCAGGTAAAGTCGTTACTGTGTCGGGACTCTGTCTCTACGATTCTAGCCTACCACTTCCAGGTAAACAGAAAAAAAAAAGCCTGTGGAAGCACAAATCTGACTACTGCGAGCCCTGGAGTTTTCATGGCTTTGTGATGTCCTCTCTGATTATTCTAGAAACAAGGCAGCAATTAGGAATGATGAAAAGAACCGTTTAAACTTTTAAAACATGCTGAAACGTGTTGTTTCCTGCGGCTCAGGTGCAAATACAGTACCTCTGTTCATTTGGGAACAAGAGGCACATGGAGTCACACTGTCTCATGCCCACTCAGCAGAAGCCTTCCCTTCATGAAATAATGGCTTCTTCAGTTATAGGTTTTACACAACAGAAAAAGCAGTGTGACCTATTTCAGTTGCCAGCAAATAATTTGAGAAACATGATGGCATGGGAATGATGAACATTCATGTGGCTTAGTCTTCTACTGTAACTGGGAGGTGGTGTATCCACAGAGACTTGGTCCTATGCTATTATGTAACAAAGTGTATATCCTGTTATTATAAATGTCAGAACTCTTAAGCTCTTACACTCAATTTATCCTTACACAGTCTGTTGGAGAGGGTGATAGAAGACCCTCTTCACTCTTAAAATGACGTGGGCGAATGCACATCTACAGTTGCATACAAGGTGCCTGCATTTTCAATTAGCGAGTTTATGTTTCTATGTGTGCACATGTGTTGTGAATAACTGCAGCCAGCGTGTGTCCTAAAAGTAAATTTAGGATGCTTTCTTTTCCCCTCATTTAACCCGTCAAAATTAGCAGTCAATAAAGTCTTGACAGGCAAAGTCAAGATGCTCCGAAGATGAAAAGAGCAACCCCAGACGCTGCCTTGTGCCCCATGATTAATTACTAACACAGATGTCTGTACGTCACACAAAGATAAATGTGTTTGTGTATGAGGGGTACTTTTAAATAAATTGTAATTGTTTTTGCCCCTGTCTGATATGCAGTAAATTAAATCCTTTCTCCCCACACAAAACAGCGTCGGTGCTAATCAAACTCATTGAATTAAATGAAGTCAGAGAGGAAGGGAAAATGTTTGTGTTTATGCCTGTCTAAAAGTTGATTTGGAAGGTTTTATAATGCCCTTATGTATAGTTTGGTTTAGGACTACAGATCTAGATGTCTAATGGCATGTGCTAGGTGTTTGTTTAGGGAATGAGGATTTGATTTTGTTTTCCTTTCAGCTGCAGTTAGGCCTTTGCAACAAGACAGAGACATGGGAAGTGTGATAGAGAGAGACAGCATGTATGTGACTGAGTGTGGATACCAAATGAAATGAGAGCTTGTCCTAGGAAAAGGGAACCATGTGGTGAAATGATTCTTGGGAAGTGGGAGTGTGTTTAGATATAGTGAAATCTGAAGTGGGAACGGTTTAAAAATATTTGTCTTTATATTAATGTGTCAGTAAAGATAATGGGAGGCAGACAGCATGGTGTTATTCAGACTGAGTCACAGAGAGAGCACTGAGTATTGTTTGTACTGTACAACCCCAAATCAGAAAACGGTACGGTGTGTACAATCAAAATTAAAACTGAAAGTAGTGATGTGTAAATCATTTGTGTCATGTATTACTTTAAACAATATGGAAGCACATTATTTGATGCGATACCTCATACCTTATTTTTCAAAATAAACACTCATTTCAATTCTGATCCCTGCAACACATTCCAAAAAAGTTGGGACGTCTGCATTTCAGGGCCAGTAATGAGGTAAAACAATGAAATGACGATTCCAGTTGAAACAGGTCATGTCAACAGGTGACTGCATCATGATTTGGTACGGCATCCAGGAAAGGCCTAGCTCTTTAGGAGCAAAGATGGGCAGAGAACCACCAGTTTGCCAACATGTGTGAGAAAATTATTGCAATGTTTTTAAACCAATCAAAATTAAAACTGAAAGTAGTGATGTGTAAATCATTTGTGTCATGTATTACCTTTGTGTAAATCATTTGTGTCATGTATTACTTTAAACAATATGGAAGCACATTATTTGATGCGATACCTCATACCTTATTTTTCAAAATAAACACTCATTTCAATTCTGATCCCTGCAACACATTCCAAAAAAGTTGGGACGTCTGCATTTCAGGGCCAGTAATGAGGTAAAACAATGAAATGACGATTCCAGTTGAAACAGGTCATGTCAACAGGTGACTGCATCATGATTTGGTACAAAAGTGGCATCCAGGAAAGGCCGAGCTCTTTAGGAGCAAAGATGGGCAGAGAACCACCAGTTTGCCAACATGTGTGAGAAAATTATTGCAATGTTTTTAAACCGTGTTCCTCAAGGAAAGATAGGAAGGGATTTGGATATGTCACCCTCTATGGTGCAGAACATCATTAAAAATTCAAGGAATCTGGAGGGATTTCAGTGTGTAAAGGGCAAGGATGCAAGCCTAAGCTGGATGACCATGCTCTCCAATCCCTCAGACGGCGCTGCCTCAAGAATTGTCACTCTTCTATAAGTGATATAACCACATAGGCTCAGGATTAATTTGGTACACCTGTGTCAGGCGCTACAATACGTAGTTACATCCATAAATGCTGCTTCAAACTGTACTGTGCCAAAAGGAAGCCCTCTGTCAACAGTGTCTGGAAGCACAGTCGACTGCTCTGGGCTCGGGGACATCTGGGATGGACCATCCAGACTGTTGCCAGCAACAAGTCCAAGACGGCAAGTCCTGTCCTGTCATGGTCTGGGGGTTGTGTTGGTGCCCTTGGCAAAGGTCGCTTACACTTCTGTGGAGGCACCGTTAATGCTGAAAAATAGATTTTGGAGCAACATATGCAGCCTTCAAGATGACGTCTTTTCCAGGGACACCCAGGCATAGATCAACAAGACAATGCAAAACCTCACACTGCCACATTACCAAGGCCTGGCTGTGGAGGAAAAGGGTACGAGGGCTGGACTGGCCTGTGTGCAATAAAGAATGTGTGGCATATTTTGAAATGCAAATTGCACCAAAGAAGACCCAGGGCTGCTGTGCACCTTAAGACTTGTTTGTGGGAAGAATGGGACAAAATGACACCTGACAGACTTAATCACCTGGTGTCCTCAGTCCATAAACGTCTTAAGTGTTGTAATTGGAACAACAATATCACACCGTGGTAAATGCTTTACTGCGCCAAGTTTGTTTGAAATGTGTTGCAGGCACCAGGATTGAAGTGTTTATTTTGAAAAAAGAATCGAATTGATGAGGTATCACATCAAATAATGTGCTGCTCTAATGTTTCCAATGTAATACAGGACACAGATGATTTACAAATCAGTATTTTCAGATTTAATATTGATTTTACATACCATCCCAACTTTTTCTGATTTGGTGTTGTATTCACTACTGGATTAGCAGTTAGTCCTGCTGTCATTTTGCTATGGTCATGTTAGTTACTGTATGTTCAGTGAGGCTTTCCATCCCTTGATGCCACTTTATCTCTGTTTCTTTTCTTATTTCTTCCTCTGTCTCAGTCTCTTCCTCCACTTCTTTCCCCATACACTACCTGTTTTCTTTTTTGTCTGATATGCTTTGTTTCTCTCCCTTCATGTCTCTTTCATCCTCTAGTTTTATATTTCACTTCACTCCACTTTCATGTCTCTCTCATCCTCTAGTTTTATATTTCACTTCACTCCACCTTCATGTCTCTCTCCCCTTTCTGCTTAGCTAACCTCTCTGTTATGACCTTGATCCATTTTTGCATTAGCACTGGATGCTATTCTCTGTTGCCTGAACTGGCCCAGCTCCCCTGCTGTTTATGGTCAATTAAACTGCTCCATTGCAATAAAGTAAAGCATTTGTGTAGCCGTGAGGTTAAGCAAATGAATAGGGGTTGCCCATTAATGCAGAGGAATGGCTACTTGAAAGTTTATGCTTGGTATATTTCTTATAGCTAGATATGTCCTGATTGTCTGAATCCTCCACTTGTTGCTGACTTACCGACACAAAAGGGTTATTCCACTGTTACCTCTGTTTGCACCTCATAACTTGGATGCATTCTTAAAATGTATAACAAATGCAATAGTCTGCGTTCTTTCCTAGAACGAAACCAGTACAATGAAGGACTAGTCTTTGTTTCACTCTGGAAAACAATTTAAACTGGTAGTGGTAATGATGCAGAGGGGCTCTGTGTGGAGAGAATGCCCTAAAGCCAGTATGAAAGAATTACCGTTAAAGCAGCAGAATATGATATAACACACCAAGTTTGATTTTCCTGGTTGAAGTGCAGACACTTGCCATGTTGTTTTTTGGCACTTATTATAGCTTTTCACCTGTGCATATAATTTAAAAACCAAAAAAAGAAATGGAAGAGAGGGGGGAAAGATGTTTTCAATGGCTTTATGTGGTCTGATTGGTGTCACAGTGCAGCTTGTGAGACAACCAAGGGTTCCTCACTGCAGGAGTGAGGTGTGACACAATGGTGCATTGGTGTTATTGATGTTTTGTTGACATGGTGGCGAGTACGGTGACTCCACTCAGTCACAGTGGTTTAGAGCTGTTCCCCAGGAAGAACAGGGCAAGGCCACGAAGCTGAGCCTGTGTTTGTAAGACCTCTATACATTAATCAAGCGTACTGGTCTAGAGCCTGTACACCAAGCTTCATTAAGAACAAACTGCTCATTATGTGGGTGCCTGTAATGGCCAATGTAGCAGCCGTTATGTTGATTACATTTGCACAGTTTGCATTCGCATTTTAATTTAACCTCAAGTATGCTGATGTTGACATTTGCTGTGAAATGGGTGCACATAAAAGTGAAGGTGAAAGACACGAGCAACAGCTTCAATGTACAGTTTCCCTAAAAGACCGGCTGTGAATGGAAATGAAGTCTTTGCACCTCATTTACAGAACTGTGTATGTCATCTTAAACTTGATTATAGATCTGATTGATTTAAACTACTTGTTTAACAAATCCTTACAGGTTTGTCTGAGGATTTATGAATAGACATAAAATGCCCCACCTTAGTTTTTACTCTATTTGCCCATTTTGTCATGCACTGTACAATATAAATAACTAAACTTGATAAATGCACGGTAAATGGGTGGGATTCACACCTCTTAGACAAACCTTCTATTCCTGCCGGTATCAGACGTTCAATCACCCCTTCAACAGCAGGAGAGTCTTCTACTTGCTTTAAAAATTCTGGCCTGCATCCGATGGGTGATGTGTCCTACATGGATCCTGAGGAAGTTTTAAGTCTATTAACCTCCACCTGTCAGGATATACTGGATTCCATTGCTTCCCTCCGATGTAGACCAGCTAAGCCGAAGGTGGATCCTTGGCTAAATGAATTAGCTCTGGAACATAGACGAAGATGTCATAAAGCTGAATGCAAATGGAAAAAGGATAAACTCTGTTTCTCTTCGCCATTTCAGGGACTGGTTGTCGGACTATCAAAAGGTGGTGAAATCTGCAAAATTGAACTATCTCTCGAACATTGTGCTCAGTAATCGCCACAAACCTCAGGTTTTGTTCACTACAATTAATTCGGTCATTAGCCCATGTAAACTGACCTCTCATCCCGGGGCATCTGTTGAGCTATGTGAGGGTTTTCTTCATTATTTTACTGACAAAATTGCTAGCATTAGGCAGTTCTCCACTACAACTTCTTTTTACCCAGCTGACCTTCCCCTGTCTTCTGCTATTTTCGATCAATTTGAGACAGTTTCTTTGCCTATGTTATCAGAAGTGGTTTTGCACATGAAAACATCGCACTGTTCTCTGGATTTCCTGCCAACAAGATTATTCAGGGATGTTTTTGAGTCTATAGGTCCTAGCTTTCTGGCCCTAATTAATTTATGTTTGACTACAGGCTCAGTTCCAGATGCTTTTAAAAAAGCAATTATCCAGCCACTTCTTAAAAAGCCGAATCTAGATCCTTTAGTGTTTTCTAATTTTAGACCAGTGTCTAAATTATCTTTTATGTCAAAAGTTTTAGAGAAGGTTGTTTTTATTCAACTCCAGTCTTTTCTGGCAAATAACGGCATCAAGGAGCAATTTCAGTCTGGGTTTAAACCAAAACACAGTACTGAGTCAGCATTATTAAAAATTAATAATGACATTTTGTTGGCCAAGGATCTAGTTCTGCTGGTGCTTTTAGACCTCTCTGCTGCCTTCGATACAGTGGATCATGAAATCCTCATATATCGCTTGGAGCAGTATGTGGGAATTCGTGGTACTGTTCTTAATTGGTTTAGAGATTACCTCACGAATATAAGTTTCTCTGTTAATATTGGTAACTGTTCCTTCTCTTAAACTATCCTCTCTTGTGGTGTCCCCCAAGGCTCTGTACTTGGCCCAACTCTCTTTTCCCTGTACATGCTTCCACTAGGATCAGTTCTAAGGAAATATGGCTTCTCTTTCCATTGCTATGCGGATGACATCCAGATATATTTACCATTAAAAGCAACTGGAGGGATGTCTCTACAGCCACTGTTTGACAGACCTGAAAGCATGGCTGGCATGGAACTTTTTAAAATTAAATGTGGATAAAAGTGAGTGTGTTGTATTTGACGATCTGGTGAAATTTGCTGCTTTTAACCACGACTTAGGTCCCCTGGCTCATCATCTGAAGATGACTGTAAAAAACCCAGGGGTAATGTTTGACAGTGACTTAAGATTTGACAAGCAGATCAACTCGGTTGTACAATCTAGTTTCTTTCACCTGAGGTTGCTAAGTAAAGTCAAGTCATTTCTTTCTTTTAATGATTTTGAGATTGCAGTTCATGCTTTTATAACCTCTAGACTTGACTATGGTAATGCATTATGCCTTGGTGTTAATCAGTCATCTCTCACTCATCTTCAAATGGTCCAAAATGCTGCGCCTCGTCTTTTAACAGGTACCAGGAAATTTGACCATATAACTCCGGTACTGGCCTCTCTTCACTGGCTTCCAGTCCATTTTAGAATTCATTTTAAGCTATTGATTTTTGTTTTTAAGGCTCTTAATGGTTTGGCACCATTCTACCTCGCTGAGCTGGTGAGGTGGCGCGAACCGACTAGATTACTCAGATCCTCGAGCCAGTTTCTTTTAGAGGTTCCCAGGGCCAGATACAAACGCTGGGGTGACCATGCTTTTACTGTTGCAGCTCCTAAATTGTGGAATGGTTTACCTCTTAATGTTAGATCATCTACAGACTTGACAACTTTTAAATCATTGGTTAAAACATATTTATTCACTTTGGCTTTTAATACAAAGTATTGTCTGATGCTTTCTTCTTATAACTGTTGATTTAGTGTAGTTCATGTTTTTATTTCTCTGTTGATATGATATATTTCTGGTTTTTACATTGCCTTTGTACAGTACATTGGTCAACCAGACGTTGCTTTTAAAGTGCTATATAAATAAATTTTGATTGATTGATTGAAATGGGTGGGATTCACACCTCTGTCAAACCATGGGGAGGGTAAAATGGGAGCTGATGGAAAAGTAAGAGCTTAATCAAAGTTTATAAATGCATATGTGTAAAGAATGTCATGTTTAAGGTCTGTCAAGCTGAAATAGAGATCAGGGAGTGATTTAAACAATCTGTAGACACAAACTACAGAAAAGCCTGTGCGGCTAATGTGCTTGTGAAATCCAGCACCAACTAAGATGCTTAAGTTTTAACAAAGTCTTTTGTGTTCAGAGGTTGATGTGAACATGTCCATCACCTGTTACTGTGGAGACTAAGTCTACCTTACTTTAAGTAAATGATGGAGCCTGGTGTTATTTCATCAAATGACATTTAATCCAGATTTTTTTTTTTTCCCCCAGGTCACACTACTGCACGTGTCTCTGCTGTTGCAGTGAGTGTCCCACCTTGAAGTCTGACAGAAATACAACACAGAAGGAAGTAATATACTGAAATCATCCATTTCAAAAACTCCTGTGTGACAGATGCTCTTGCCATGGCCAGGAAAAGTGTTTCCTGGATAGCCAGTTCCCTGTGACGGCTGGGCTCCACAAATCTGAGATCCGCTTCTCCTTTGTTAACTTAACAAACCATGATGATGCTTTGGCTGCTGCTAGTACTATTCCTTTGGGTGGGGCTTCACCAGGGTGACTTAGCCCAGTCCAATGAACGGCGAGTTGTAGCGCACATACCTGGTGACATCATCATTGGAGCATTGTTCTCCGTCCATCATCAGCCTCCTGCCGACAAGGTAAATTTGTGTCTGTAGGATGGTTTGGAATTCAATGTTTGTGACTGTAAATGTTATGTTTAGTCCCACCTATCCTGCCTGGATCTGAGAAAAGCACTTTGAAAATGACACAAGATTTATGACGGATAATGTATAAAATGATGGTCAAAAAAACTTGACTTATGATTACACAGAGAGCCCTAATGGTGCTCTGCTTATTAAGACCCAAAGAACACACTCAGTTTATGGGAAGAGTACCTCCTGTGTGAGTCCATGGACATACAACTTCCACTGACTGCTCCAGGATCCTGGAGGCATTCACTGACTTTAAAGCTTTTTCCTTCTCATTATGGGTAATTGCAAAGACGAAGAAATAATTCTCTGAACATGGCAGCAATGTGAATTAAAAACCAATTTTAGTGCACCAACGAAGCACCTGTGTGTTAAGAGCATAATTCTAAAAATGTCTTGTCTGCTAAAAATAAAAATGTTTGACTATTCCATGCTCTCATCAGTAATGACAACATCGTCAGTGCATATGAACTCAAGCTGATGTTGTCTTCCACCCTGTGCGCACAGGTACATGAGCGCAAGTGTGGCGCAGTGCGAGAGCAGTATGGCATCCAGAGGGTGGAGGCCATGATGCACACGCTGGACCGCATTAACAATGACCCACAGATCCTTCCCAACATCACCCTGGGCTGTGAGATCAGGGACTCATGTTGGCACTCAGCCGTGGCTCTGGAGCAGAGCATCGAGTTCATACGGGATTCGCTGGTCTCCACTGATGAGGCCGAGGAGTGGGGCGTGGGAGGCTCTTGGGGAGGAGGTGGTACAGTGACTATAAAGTGTTCAGATCCCTCTGCCACTACAATGCGGGGGAAGAAACCCATTGTGGGTTTAATTGGACCGGGGTCGAGCTCAGTGGCCATCCAGGTCCAGAACCTTCTACAGTTGTTCAACATACCACAGATTGCCTACTCTGCCACCAGTATGGACCTCAGCGATAAGGTAAACTTACATACAGGGTTTCCTGATGGCTCAGGGAGTTTTTTTTTGGGGGGGGTCCACCTTGTATTTATAACATTATTTACATAACACCAACTAAATAGCCTTCTTGGCTAACATAACTTAGCTAATTCAGTATATTTTAGCTACGTTACCAATTTCTTAACTTGTAAAACAGGCTTGTGACCATTCACAAGAATTACAAAGTTGTAGCCTACATCATGTTTGCTTTGTGGAGGTTAACCGTATCGATGGCTGAGAAATACCCAGTCAGCTGTTTGCTTGGCTTGGTGATGCTGCAAATCACACAAATGTTCGCCCCAATACTGATTGTTGATTGGCAGGTCAGTCCTGTCCATTATTTTCCCGTGCATATAACCCAGCATTTTTCACATTTATTCTGATATGGTGCTTTTTTTATGTTAACTGGGCTTAGGCACGCCACAACAACACTTGGGTGCTGGGCCTAAGCCTTTCTGTGGTAGAAATAAACCTGTTATACCTGTAGACAAATGTCTACGCTGCTGGAGCTGTACAAATGTAGCTACATAAATATTAAAAGGAATCAATTACAGACAGAATGTATTACTTCTGCTTTAATGTAACTTTAATTTACTCAAATAGAGTTGCCCCTTACTTTATCGAATGTTCTGAATGCCCCTGGGTAATTCTGCTTGTCACTGATTTTTATTTCCACCATTTCAGAGCCTTTATAAGTACTTTATGCGGGTGGTGCCTTCAGATGCCCAGCAGGCAAGGGCTATGGTGGATATTGTCAAGAGGTACAACTGGAGCTACGTGTCTGCTATACACACTGAAGGTACAACCAAAGACTCTGTCTCCATCTCAGACTTACACCCCTCTTCCAAGCTCAGACTGGCACACACAGATGCTTTTGTCTTGTTCTGCCTACCCGTCTCTGTCTCATTATACTGTGTCCTGGGCTCCTCATTACATTTGTTTACCTGAATACCTTATTCAGAGTGACTGAATAAACAGCAACAGTTAAATTAGAGCTGAGGAGAAAAAGCTGGAACATTTTCTTTCAGACAAGACAGGAGTATTGTCAATGCAAGGACAAGAAGAAAGAGGAAGATAAGGGAGAGAAGAATGTAATTGACAAGATCAGTTGTACTGCTGCACCTGAGAGGGAGAGGAACATTTTTTTAAAAGAAATGACTTTTCAGTCAAACTTCTTTATGAAGGGAATTGTTGCTGGGTTTAAGATAGCTAAATGCCAAAAAGTTGATGGAGGCAGTAGTATCCAAAAACAGTAGAGCAGGTCTGGAGGAGGGAATGGATCAGATGTCATAAAATAACTTCTAAAAAATGTTAGTAAATCCACTCACTCACTCAGATGCTGGTACTGTGATAGCAACAGGAACTGCAGGACAATGCAGTAACTGTCTGTGTCCATTGAGAGGAGGCTTGTTCAACCTGAAAATGTGTGAGGAAAATAGTGATAAGCGCACACACATTGAGGACCCTAGTTCCTGGCCTCTGGCATTGCCTGAGGACATTACAACAGCATTTGACTTGAGCTACTGAATAGTAAGTGTGTGTGCATGGATTTGAGTGTATACTACATTTGCATACTGGCTATGCCTGTGTGAGTGAGATGTTTATCTGTTGTTGTGAATAGACTGGAGGAGCAGAAGTTTATAATGAGGCAAAAATATTATATGATGCAACAGCTGATGTCAGACTCCATGAATAAAACATATTGCACAAATGTGATTTGCTTATATGAAGCAACTGAAAAGTGTTTCATGTATAAAAAATGCAAATAACTTTTTTTTTTTTTTTAGACAGATGGTAACTAAAATGATTGGTCAGTGATTGTGCTTTGTGTGAAAGAGTTTTACAGTTTATAAATGTCTTCTCCTTAAATGTGTTCCCAGCGCACAACAGCATATATGTAAAGTAATTGTTTATGATGTGTTTATTTAAAAGTCTATGAGAGAGAATGAAAATAAAGCATCCCAAACCCCAGCAACAGCCAGTACTGATGGTAAACCTTGTGGAATTATTTTATCTACCTTCATTCTCCAAAGTAAAAATTCAAAGGGATTTCTCTGCAGACATTAAGACATTTGCAAATCACTCTACATTTGTCGATCTAAATGATGGGTTACAGCCAAATCACGGTATAGTATGGAGTCAGAAATAACATTTGTCTTGCGTGTGACATTTATTTTTGCTTTCCCATGAGACTGATCTCCACATAAGTGAGCTTGCTGGTGTGCTGCTGTAAATCTTGGCATCAAGGCAGGGAGTGTGTGTGTGTGTGTGTGTGTGGGCTAGGGGTGTGTAATACTGACATATCTATTTTCTGGTATTTTGTCTAATGATTAGCAGACGATATTTTGCACCTTTCAAAAATGTTTAAAGTTTTATACCTGCTTGCTCTCATTAATAGCATATTAATTGTTGCTTACTTATGGAAACAATGTCTAAGGAAAAGAGGACTTATTTACTTGAAACAGTACAGAAAAACAGTACACAAAGTTTGCAGTGTGCGTTTTTGTGCTGGTGTCTTGGCTAGTTTAGTCCTGTCATGGACTTTTTTATATTCTGTGCTGTCACAGATGGTGAAGCCACTTGTCAAGTTGTCTTTAACAGCAACCAATTGCTTTCAGATTTGCCATCTTTTGAGAAACATCCATCTTTTCAAAGCCAAATTGCTTACCTTGTGGTGTCCATGTAAACGCTGCGTGCACTCTCAATATACAGGTGCAGTAGTCTGTCCTACTAGACTACATGCTGCAATGGTAAATAAATGGTAAATGGACTGTATTTTATATAGCGCTTTCTCACAGTGTGTTGCACTGGCCAAAGCGCTTTACAGAGATGATACACCATTCACCCATTCACACACAACATTCACACACTGATGACGACAAGCTGCCATGCACCGGCGCTAGTCAAGCCACCAGGAGCAATTCGGGGTTCAGTGTCTTGCTCAGGGACACTTAGGCATGCGGGGAGACCGGGAGTCGAACCACCAACTTGCTGGTCAGGAGACGACTGCCCTACCTCATGAGCCACAGCCACCCCCCAATGAATGTGTGGACTCAAAACGTTTTGATTATTTTTTGTAAAACATATTCAAATGTCAGCGCATATATTTCTAAAACAATTAAGATATCGTAGACAATATGCAGTATCTCACACACCTTTAGTGTAGGATTTTGTGGTTGAGAGAGTTCTTGTGTTTGTCTGAAAAGTATTGGTCTTTGCATTTCGTCAGACAGGTGGGTTTGACCTTGGAACTGATCTTCAAGGCTGACCACTGCTTTCTCAAACACAATCACTCTCAAACACCGAGAACAAGACAGGGAGGTTGCAGAGAGAGGACAAAGAATTATGAATAGATAGGAGAATGAGAGGCAGTGGAAAAAGGCAAGGGATCAGGAAGCCATTGAAGGATCAAATAGAGAAGATGAGGAACATGGGCTGGGAGGAAAACGAAGGAGAAAGTGAAGGGTTTATTGTGTAAAATAGGAGCAAGAAAAATGGGGAAGGAGAAAATTGAAAAAGTAATATTTCCAGAAAGACAGTACAAGGGGTGTGTGTGTGTGTGTCTCACTGGATTAACATTTTGCATCTGGAGGCAAGAGACGGTGCAAAGTGATGAGCAAGAAACTGAATAATACAAGTAATTACACTAAAGTAATGAAATTATATTATTGGAGGGGGAATATGAGTTTTACTTTCTCTTTGGGGGACAGTTGATATTGTACATGCCTGAATATTTGCATGGAATGAGTGGATTTGCAGCCGTTTCTTTTCCGTTATGTCTTTCCAGTTATGGCCGCAATGCTGCTGTGTGGGGGTATGATATGGACATGTAGGGACTATCAAGCTCAAGCAAGTTTCTTTAACTGTAATAGCAACTTCAGTTTAATGAGAGCATGTGCCTTTGCGAATAGGTCATCATCCAGCCCTAAAATATTAGATGACACTCACCTTTTCAAACCTGACTTCCAGAGACAAACACTGGGGGATATTTACTAAACCTGTCGCAAATTATTTGCGACGCCTCGGTTTTTAAATTTAGCAGCATACAGTATTTGCCAACGCTGGCGATGGAAACGAGCACAGCTGCAGCTTTTTAAATTGAATGCACTTTATCAGGTAAAAGAGGACAGTAGAAAAAAAGAGCATTTACTGTGACTGAAGTTTAATATGCTTGAAGAAATCAACATATTTCAGAACTGCAGTCACTTAGTCTCCTGCCAGTCAAATTTTATTTCATTCATGGATTGAAGCATGGTTTGACCTGTAGCCTGTACAAGTTCCTCGCACTCTCCTCTGGCAAGCGGTGTGATTTACGTACAAACACCTTCTCCCTCCTCAAACAGTCTCAGATGACTAACAGCTGCCATGCTGACAGCAGGACCACAAATTTTACACCTTCTTTCTCCTGATGTTAAATTTCAGCTGTAGTTCCCTCTGCAGTGGTGGTAAATCAGGCACTGAGGGTATTTGTATAAATTTCCATTTATCCCCCCTGATTTTTGTGTCCCTGAATTGAAATACATAGTGCATGTGACCAAACATGAATTCCTGCGTTGTTGCATTTCTAATGTTTCCCCGCTACAAAACCCCACTGACTCCATAGCAAATATAAACACACACAGATTCAGTTTGGTGTAAAAAAAAAAAAAAAAAAAAAAAAAAAAAACCAAAAAAAACCTTTATTAAATATCCCCCATTGTCTTATAGCTCTTACAGAATATATACGTTTAATTGCAGCACACCAGAAGCAGGGCACGGCTCGTTGGATCATTTTTTTTCCAGGCTAAAAGATCAATTAGCATATAAATCGGAAGTGAGATGGTAAGAAATATGGCAAACCAGACACAAAGGATAGATAGATCCAACAAAATGCCACAAATGGCATTTCATCAGACGCACTTCTATTCCAACACACTGACTACTTTTAACAGACAGAAGAAATAAAGGGTTTGTAGAGCACCTCAGGGATACCGGTCTGTTGCTGAAGGTGCTCGTCTGCTCCACTGGGCACAGTGAAGAGGAGTGTTTTTCCATTGTTGTTGCTCAGACTGATCATAAAACACATTTATTCACACAGCTGCAATTGAATGTCATTATTCAGTATTTTACTAAAGAGAATTCGTATCATCATATGCCATTACAATGAGATTAATATTGTCTCCCTCTCTCATTTCTCTCTGTTCACTTCAGCTCAATGGGCTTTATTGACATGAAATTTGGCATATCACCCAAGCATGCTCCAACAGGAACTGATCAGTCTGTCAAGATGTCAGCCTTCCTCTTTACTCGCTCCCTTTCTGTCTTTGTCCCTTTATTTAATTTCTTGCTCCCGTGTGTCCTTACTGGGTCTTTAAATCCAGACACCACCACCCTCTCTCCCCTTCCGTTCTCTCTTTACTCTCCCTTTTGTTTCCTCTCATCCTCCTCTTTTCTATCTCTGTAGCATGACATGCTCTTTACCTATTTAACTGGTGGCCTTTAGTATTGAGAAAGATGAAAATGGGGTGGGTTGAAGAGGGAAGTGCAAAGGATGGTGTAATGAATGGGGAGAGGAGAATAACACAATTTGCACTTTTTATCTTTACTGTTGTCTAAGGGGGAAGATTTTAAGTGTGCCATTGGCCATTCTCTGGTGGGTTGCCATATAACAAGTGATCTTCTGTGTTTTAATGAGCCTGGGGTGCAGGACTACATCAAATTGGCTTGGGTGCAAGTTTCAGATCTGATGTTCTGGGAGTCCATTTAATGGCTTCTATTAAGATACTGTAGATGGATGTTTTGTCAGCTATCCCGTTGCCTAGGCTCTATTCATTATATCTATGAGGGAGAATTAAATGGAGCTTTCCTACTGGCAAAGACGTTACAGTGGGTCATTAAGGGGGAGAAATATCTGAGCTCTTGCCATGTTAAAACAGGTTAAAGACCACTGTGTGGGAGGAAATGAGCACAAGCATACATAAACTTACAACTCAGCTGTGTTTAATTTTGTATCGGGTGGCCAGACTGGGGCCCAGACAGAAAGAAGGGTGGCACATTTGAAATGCATGTAAAAAGTAAATGAAATCCCCAGTTCTATGAAATAAGTCATACATTATTAACTGTTTATTCTGTGTAAAAATGAGACGTTCACAGTGCTTTCTTTACATAACTTTGGCTAGCGCTCCTTATTTACCCCTGAACGGGGACATTGCTGCTGCACAGTGGTTCCCCCACTGAGACAAATTAGGCCAAGTACTCCACAACAACACAGTGCAAATACTGTGCTGCATGCTTGATTAAAAATACAACAAATTTGAGTTATTATAAAGGGGGGGGGCATGGTAGAGATTAAACATTTAATTCTAGCCTAGAACTATTTCCATTGGGTAGCAGACATACAGTATATACATTTCATGGAGACTGACACCTGACCAGAAGACTAAATGTTAGTCCCAACTGTGAGCTACAGAATAGACTAGCCTTGCTCATTGAGAGCATAAAGACTGATTTTATTGAACAAAACATTGACATTATGTCCAGAGCAGGTCACTGTTTTAGTTCAAATCTGCAGTTCCTATTATTCCAAATTAAATTTAAGGGACTATGTTACAAGGAATTGGGCATCACACCACTGTCACTAACTTTATGCCTATAATTCCTTTAATAATGTTGACTGATATGGATGCAGGCTCAAATAGGGTATGTGTAGAGAGTGTGTATGCCTGTGTAATGATGCATGCTTTTAATGCCCGTTTATGTGCTTGTTCTGTTTGCCGTGTAATTCTGTGATCTGGTTGAACTCTTTCCGACAACAGTAGCACTATCAGTGAGCCAGTGTGCTTCAGGGTTTTGATGTGTTAGCCATTTATCTGTGCTCCAGATGTGCTAGAGGGTAGTGGTGGCATTGGTGAGGATTGAGGAGAACTGGCGAGAGGGTGCTAGAAAATGAAGCATCATGAGGAGGTCGAGGAGAGGGTAGGAGGGTACTTAATGTTTACCTTTTTACTGCATGCTGTTATTCTCTCGGTGAAAGATGGCAAGAGGGTATAAAGCTTGAAAAGAGGAAACAGACAAGGAAGGGAAGGATGGGGGGGAAAGGGATAGAACACGCAATTGCATGTAATAGGCCTGATTAGAGTGGCAAGCGGAAGGTAATTGAGGAAGAGTAATGGCAGAAGGGGAGAGCGGAGGGAAGGAAACGAGGAGAGAACTAGCAGAACCAACTGTCTCTGTGGCTTACATTTTACTGGCTATTGCACTGCTACTCAAAGTGGGGAAAGCAAGTAGCTGTAGGAGGAGGCGAGGGAGCTCTGCAGAGGGCGAGCAAAACTCCCTTCGGCTTTGCATGTGATTGCATGTTGTAATATAAAGATCAAAGAAGAAGATAGTAAACTAGGGAAAATGTGAGGTTTTTTTTGCCATATTTTTACTTTAGGCTGTTTTTATTCTGTGTTGTTCATCATAATAATTATAAACATAGTATGTGTGTATGGGAACTAAAGAGAGGCACAGCTTTGTAGAGGAGAGCAGTAAAATGTAAAAAGGACAAAAGCTCAGATGGGTAAAGGGATATAAGAAAAGCAGCTTGGAAGCTATGTTTTGGAAGTCCCACTGGGTTTATTCAGTGGGAGGTGATGAAACAAAGGCAGTTATCACATGAGGTAGATATACTCTATATGAGGTATTTTACTCCAAACTGAGATGGTCACCATTGAGCTACACGTAAAAAAATTGCTTCTATTTATGTGTAAGTTGTGTAAAGAGTTTGGTCTTTGTTCAACATAAAATCTGAGAGGGGTGGCACCAGGAAGACAGCGGAACGAGGGCAGAGTGAGGGGATGGAGGGCATGATTGAGGCAATCGAGGTGAATTGAAGCAAGCAGGGGGTGCCTGTACTAGTGTCAAGTGTGGAACTGTACAGAGCTGAAACCGAAGGGGATTTTCTGTGGTTTGGCTTTGAATGCAGTGAAACCATGAGTGTAAAAAATGTTTTGTTCACTTTCACCCTGCTTTGCATTTATGTGTAGTATCACAGTCCATGTCAAAGATGATGAAGCCATTCAGTTGTTAAAAAAAAAAAGTAAATCATTTTCTCAATATTCCTCAAACTTGCAAAGAGGCTGTTGATGTTTGCTGTAAAATCCCATTAATCTGGGATGCACTAGTGAGGTAGAGAGGACAGACTGGTGGCCATTGTCTCATGTCGTGTTGTAGCCAAACTGATGGAAACTGAGTGTGGGCGGGTTTTTGTACAGGACGGATGGGAGTGCAAGTGTAGCATGAATAAAGCCTGTGTGTGTTTAAAAGGTTCGGCAATGGAAATGGGGCAATAAAGTGACACATGACGGGTTCACTGAGTGAGAAAGATGGATGTCGAACACAATAATCCCTGTTGAGCAGAATGAAGTAGGTTACAAGAATTATCGATTTTTGATGATGGGAACAGTGTGAATGTGTGTGTCAGCGTGTTGCAGGGGAAGGATGGTTTGTACCATCTGTCTCCCACTCCTCTCACCGAGACACTAATTACAGGACTTTACACTACGCTCCACCACATTCATCACTGGACTGACTACACACACACTGAGATGGAGTAGTGGCCAGGGATTGCTTAGAGCTCTTGTTCTGTCTCTTGTCTTACATTCTCTCTCCCTTTCTTTCTTCCCCATCATCTCTTTCCACTGTTACCTTCTCTTTATCTATTCATTTCTTGCTCCTTTTTCCTACCCTTGACCTCTTCTTCTTCCTCTTTATCAGTTTAAATAGAGCACAGATCAGAGACCTAATTAGGCTGCATTCTGGTACTGATACAAAGAAAAAGGAGGAAACATTAGCGATAAGAATCTGAGTGAGGGAAGGGGAAAAATGTGTTAAAAAGGGGCTG